GACTTAAGTAACAAAGAACAACCATAAACAATGCGTATGAAACTAACAATATTTTACTAACATGTATACATCATAAAATCATTGAAGGCAGCTAATACTTTGACGGTTGATCAATAATTATCCGGTTGATAACATCATAATAAATGAGAACTACTCTTGAAGAACCCACTAAATGAGAACTTCACAAGCTTCAAATAAGAGCACACACTGACACACATCGAATAAGCTAACAATTCAGCTAAGAACAAGCATTAAGACTTGAGAGATAACCTTTAATTTCGTTTTCGGAAGATTGAGACTTGAGAGATAACTCTTTGTTTCTCCAATACTCTCTGCAACAACAACAAGCCAAATAAACCCACAAATAAGCTAATAAGAACAAACCCACAAACAGATTTACAAAGAGTGATAAGTTATAGAGATCTAGAGTGTTTTCAACAATGTAATGGGTATAGGGTTAAAAAAAATAGACACAGGCCGGGATAACCTTATCGACTAAGGCCCACGACAACATCCCTACTGATGAAGTGATGATCATATACATTCTGCCCAATTTCTGTAATTTCTTTTTAACTATTTATGGTTTGTTTGTTAATCATCGATAAGGGACAATGCAAATAGTTGCGCAGACTCAACAGTTTCAAGTTTAAGCAGGAAACTGGCTGTATCTAAGATGTTAAGCCTAAATATTTGGCTGGCGATCATTTGTCGACCCAATTCAGATGAACATTTTAAAATAATTATAAAATATTCATCAGATTAATGTTCATTGGTAATCATGTACGTGGTTCGAGTTTTCCTTCATTTTAAAGTTTTTTCAGTGGAAACATTTATGCAATTTCTCAAACTTTCTCATCATACTTTCTCAAACAACATTTATGAAATTTCGTACATTAAGTTAGTTGTTTACCCCAAGTAACCATGTTTTGTTGGATCATGTTGTTTAATTTTTATGTCAATTTTGATACAAGAAAGTTGTATCAATTTTGTTTTTAGCTTTGAAAAATGATACAATGTTGTTGCCTACTACAGCTTTAAGCATCTTTTCAACAATAACCCTGCATCCAATGATCTTTACTGACCTGGTTTAAATCGTTTTTTTTTCACCTCCTAGCTTCAAAAACTTAGATAATTGAGAGTTATTGGAGAAGATTTGATAGTTCTTTATAAGAAACATAACACAAGTTATTTTTAAGTAATTATGCTTATATAATAGAAAGAATCGAATTCATGGGATTACTATACTGTATATAGATTACAAACACTATTTTCAAAATGACCATGGAGTTGTAGGCTTTGTATCTACGTTCTATATTGAAATTGAAAGAGTGCTGTAATTATTCATGGTTTTGTTGTTTTCTTAAGAGCATCTCCAAAAGCAATCTTAAAACCTCAAATATAAGGTTTTGTGTGCTCCAAGAGCAACTTCAAAGCCTCAATTATAAGGTTTTGTACAGTGAAACCTTATATTTGATGTTTCACTATACAAAACCTTAGAGCAGCCGCAACGGGCCTTTTTCACAAATCCTTAGCGCAGCATCCTAGACAAATGGGAATAAAATATTAATTTTAAGGCCCAACTCAGTAAGGAGCAGTCCGTAAATAAGGGTTTTACGGAACGAGTCCTTAGTGACGTGGCCTCATCTTTTTCATCTTCTTCTTCAAGTCTCCGAAGATTTCACGGAGCTTTTTCTCGTGCTCGTCCATAACTATTGCTCTATTGCCTTGCAATCAGTGAGTTGTTCTTATTCTGAGAAGGAACAAGACAAGGTCTCTATGTTGCCTGGTCAGAATTTCAATGTAAACTTTGCTCACTACTCTGGATTCGTTACAACGAATGAGAAACTGGAAAGAGCGCTCTTCTACTGGTTATTTGAAGCTGATGAAGATGCTTTGTCTAAGCCTCTTGTCCTCTGGCTCAATGGAGGTTTGCTTACAGAATAAAAAAGTCCTAAGCTTTCTCCATTTTATATTTTTTGCAATTGAAAGTTGTCTCCTTTTCTGCTTAATCAATAGTACATCAATAGATTTTTAAGTCATCCAACTATGAGTTAGTGTTTTATGATATGGATGTTGATTTTTAATTTTGGAGATATGTCTTGTAGGATTTGATTACTTATTGCTTGTTTATGATTTTATTGTAGCTTCTAGTATGATACACGTGATTTCTCCTTTTGGATTCATGTAGATATGAATGGTAGTATGTTGTTTTGATCCCTTTTAATGGAATCTAACTGGGATTTTATTTTCTAGGATTTATACCCTGTCCTTTTGTCAAGCTTCTGTTTTCTTATTTTTTCTTGGTTTTGTTTGCTTTCTCTATTTACAGGACTAGGATGTTTATCTGTTGGATTTGGTGAAACAGAAGAGATTGGACCATTTCACATTAAGCCTGATGGGAAGAATCTTTACCTTAATCAATATTCTTGGAACCAATGTAATCAATTGAAATGAGATATGTTTGCAGAGAGCTATGATTCCAATTAAAGCTTAAAACCTTTGCTACACCTTTTTTTTTTTTTTTTGCAGCTGCGAATATTTTGTTTCTTGATGCACCTGTTGGAGTTGGTTTTTCATACTCAAATATTTGCTTACTAATGGTGACAAGAGAGCTGGTAAACTGTTTTTAACTGCTTAATCTCATTGTCTTTATAGATACTCTTGTTGGTTTGGTGGGGTTTATAGTTTTGTGGTGTTATGATTTACACAGCTCAAGATTCACTTACATTTTTGCTGAAATGGGTTGAGAGATATCTGGAGTATGAAGGAAGGGAGTTTTATATAGTTGGGGAGAGCTATGCAGGTAATAACTTCGAAGCTCACCTTATTTTATAATCATGTGTTCTGTTTTAAAATCTTATCTTGTTTGTTATAGGACATTACATTCCTCAGCTGAGCCAAGCCATTGTAAGACATAACCAAGCTTCTGGCGAACACACAATTAATCTGAAAGGTTACATGTCCTCATTATCAATCTCTATATTAATCTAGGAGGTTTGTAAAACTCTATTAAAGACCTTTTGATGAATGTTTGTTTTAAATTTCTCATGTTTAAAAAAAAATTCACTAAGGACTCCTAAACGGAGTCCACCATTGGATTCACTTTTTTTGAGTAGAGTTCTTAACTATTCAATTAAGAAAAAAAAGAGTAAAATAATGGCTAAGGACTCCTTCATGGAGTCCACCATTATGGATGCCCTTATATTTGAGGTTTCATATTTTTTTGGTCCTTGTACTTGTATGTCTTTCAAATAGTTATAATAACTTTCATGTTTATTTTAGTCCATACAGTTTTATATCTTTTTTATATTTTATATATGTTCTAATAAATTTAACTGTTAAAAATAAATTTAAATAAGTATATTAATATTTAAATAATATATAATAGTTTTTAAGCCTTTTCTTCACGTTGATTTGCTATAAGAATGTAACAGTTTATTGATATGTAATAATTTTAAGTCTTTTCTTTATATATACTTTGTTGCTAGAATGTAATAGTTTATTAATAAATATTAATTTAAATATTTTGTATGATTTTAGTTATTATAAAAGTTTTATGATTTTATTTGATTTTTAGCTAAAGTAAGGATTATACTGTAATAATATAAAACTTTTAAGGTTTACTCTTGGAAGAAGAACACCCTCAAACCTCAAATATAAGGTTTAGCTAACCTCAGATATACGGTTGCTCTCGGAGATGCTGTTATGACTAAAATAATTTTATAAAATGTTATAGGAACTGGGGAAGAAGGCTACACTATGGGACCAACATGCTGTATATGAGTTCTAAAAAGATGATATGTCTTGGCTAGACAATGATGCTCTTACAGGAAGTGACAAGCTACAATACTATGGGGTTATGTGTTTGTTGCTTTTGATTTATGTCTTCACCAGAAAGAGAATTTGTCTTTTCGTTTTGGGAGAAGTCGTCCTACAGAAAACAAACTGAATGTTTGATCATGTTCCACTGTAAAAGTACACTTACTTATAATGATATTGGTATAAAGTCGGATGCTTGGTTACATGAATGATTGGCCACATGAATCTTTTTGATAACAGATGAAACATTCACTAACATCTTAGTATATAGGACATAGTAGATCAAAGGGTTCTTCTGCTTTATGTTGAAAGCCATGAGAGGAGAAGCTAAAAAAGTACTTGGCTTGATTGTAAAGCATATATATAGGTTACATAAAACAATTTTTTTTTATCAAAGCAGAAAACAATTTATATTCACTTTTACATGTTGAACTAGTTAGGATTTAGGACAACCAAAGGAATGAAGGATTGCATTCTCACAAACTGTAATCTACGTTACTCTCGCAAAACTCTCAAACTATCTAGAAGCGTGGTTAAGGCTGACTCAGAGGTGTCATTAAATCAGTCTATCTGGACTTCTCTGTTTGCAAACCTTGGCTGAAGAAAGAAGAAACCCTGTAAAGTTAAGACATGAAGATGAGATTCGTGGTATGTTTATATCATACATTGGTGCCATTGTATTTTAGATATTTGGATATCCTTTTGGTTTTTAATTTTCAGTCTTGTTTTTTTTGGTCAACCGGTTTTCAGTTTAGTTTAGTTTAGTTTTTTCTTCCTTTCATAAATGAAAATAAGAACTGTTTGTTCAAAAAAAGAAAGAAATAAGAACTGTTTGGGTATCTTTGAAATCTGATTCAGTTTCAGTTTCTACGGTTTGGTTTCGAGTAAAACTGACCAGGTCTACAGTAACCTTTCTAAGCTGTTAAATGCGTGTCGTTTTAAGATTTTCAAAATCTCCAAAACACACGTGCCGTTTTCCGAAACTACCGAGCGTGCATGGGCCTTCCTCGTGGAAGCAGAAGCTCCACAAGAAACACTAGTGACGAAGCTATTCTCTGAACCACACATAACAGAACCGTGTCAAGACTGCTTCTGTCTAAATCTTGCTCATCAAGAAAAGTAGTAAACAATGATAAATAGTAACCCTATGTGAATACTATTTTTGGTAAGAGACTTCCAAAATGGGAATGGTTTTTGGTAAAATCGCCGTGGAGACTCCCAAACACACGGTGGTCAAATCCGGCGACGGCTATGAGATCCGTGAATATCCTCCGGCCGTGGCGGCGGAGGTCACTTACGATCCTTCCGAGTTCAAAGGCGACAGAGACGGCGGCTTCATGGTTTTGGCCAAGTACATAGGCGTGTTCGGCAAACCGGAGAACCAGAAGCCGGAGCAAATCGCCATGACTGCTCCGGTGATCACCAAGGAAGGCGAGAAGATCGCCATGACTGCTCCGGTTGTGACCAAGGAAGGAGGAGGAGGGGAGAAGAAGATGGTGACGATGCAGTTTCTGTTGCCGGAGATGTACAAGAAGGCTGAGGACGCGCCGCGTCCGATGGATGAGAGAGTGGTGATTAAGGAGGAAGGAGGGAGAAAGTACGGCGTGGTGAAGTTCAGTGGTAATGCAAATGAGAGTGTGGTGAGTGAGAAGGTGAAGAAGCTGAGGAGTGATCTTGAGAGAGATGGGTTTAAGATCACCGGAGAGTTCGTGCTTGCTAGGTATAATCCGCCATGGACGTTGCCTCCTTTCAAGACCAATGAAGTCATGATCCCTGTTGAATGAGGAAACCTAAACCCAAAATTGATAGGTGTTGGTCTCACGAACATGTCTTTGTAGTTGAAAGATGTAACAAGAACAATAATGTATACAATGGCTAGCTTTTGTTTGATTTTGAATGTCCAACAACAAAGTGTTTGTTCTGACAAGGGTGAACAAAAAAATGTTTTTTTTAACCGGAGAAAAGCTTAAAGACGATGACAATTAAGTTAAAGAGCATGAGAGGAAGCCTCATGTACTGGCAGGCGTGGATGAGACCAACGATTTGGCCTTTGAGAGAGTTTCTTTTGCCGGTTTGGTGTAGCTCCGCGAGTGTCCATCCTTTTGGAGCTAAGAAACGATCTTCGTTGAGGATAGCTAGTGCGTTTGCAAATAGCAGCAACCCTTCCATTAGTGTCCAGAACCCCATGATGTCTCTCTCTGTGAAACACACGTCCCAGAATCATTAATATAGATATGCATCAATGGTATTAAATCAAGTTATAAAGATTTTTATCCATCAATGGTATTTGAATCAACTTATGAATAACAACAATCCTTCCACTAATTAGTGTCCAGAACCACCTATGATTTGAGGATTAAGAACGATTAACAAATCATGAGCAAAGTGGAAACATATAGATCACAGTTTTATCTATCAACGGAACTGAATCTAGTGGTGATATTCTATATAAAATGGTCAAGTGTCCAACAGCAAAAGATAAAACACAACACCAACCACTAGGTAAGAAAGGTAGAAGGCACTGTTTAGTTTGCCGTTGTCGCTTGCAAAAAACCTCTTCAGGCAACAGAATAGCTTATACAGATAAATAGTTTTATCCATCAGTGGTACTGAATTAACTAGTAAATAGCAACAGACTATGAAACAGCACATGAATGGAAACAAATTTATCTATCAATGGAGTTGAATCTACTGGTAATAGTCTATAAGAAAGGTCAAGATATTTCATCCATGAAAACAGCAAAAGACAAAATCTTGATTCTAAGTTAACACCAAAACAAATTGCATTTACTAAGTAAGAAAGGTAGAAGGCACTGTTTTGTTTGCCAGTGTTGCTCTTCAGACAAGAGAATCAAATAAGCATATATATATATAAAATATATATATTATATATCTAATAAAGCAAGAACATAATTGACAAGATTTTCTGAACAGATTGGATCCAAATTCTAAGTAGATTGAAGCAGCCGGCATTAAGAAATTATCATTCAACGTAAGAAGAGAGAGCAGATCAGACTATGATGCTAAATCTACACAAAATCATTAGTCTAATAGAGCAAACTGCTTGATTGATTGATTGATCTCCCTAAAAAAACTCGCAAATTTCGATACCAGCTTTCAAAAGAAGGATCGAGATTTACCACCACAACTTCGACGGTGTGAAGAGATGATACTTACAGCTAAGCCGAAATCGAATCGAGTCAAGTCGAGGTTGAAGAATTAGAGAGAGATCTCGTTAAAGAATGACGAAGCCTGCAAATTATTAATTTAAAAAATTATATTTAAGCTAAACCGGAACCGGTTATTTTCAAGGGTTGACCCGACTTGAAGAAGTTCGGTCAGGAGTCAGATTTATATTTTTATAATAAGTAAATTAAGTCTTACCAAAACATCAGAGTGGCGCAGCGGAAGCGTGGTGGGCCCATAACCCACAGGTCCCAGGATCGAAACCTGGCTCTGATAATTAATGTAACTTTTTATTTTTATTTGACACAAAACGACCTTAGAGAAAACTACAAACAATTTGTATCTATCATTTACAAATCCATACATCAGTTGACAATAACAGCAATGCAATTTAAATGATGTGACAAAAAAAGAATATAACACATGTTACATCTGCTTGACAATGATCAATCTATTGGTTTTGAAGTAATCCTGAGATTCCTAACCACCTGCTCTTAAGCACAAGAATAAAGAAAATTGTTATATCTTTGATGCTCATGTATAGTGTGAATCACAGATTCTACAGATTTGTATAAATCTTCCAAGAAACCAGTCTTCTTTCTTTTTTCCTATATTGTACAAGAAAGCTACAAAAGTGTTGAATCAAATGTCTTGTCTTCTATCTTCAAACACTCTCCTTCCATCTATCTGACTCACTTCTTACACTTGACTTCCAAGGTTGCTCAGGCTGAGACTTGTTGTTACAAATGCAATCTGGTTGTGGATTCGCGTAAAAGTTCTCTTCTAGCCGAGGGAACTCACCTGAAAGTCTAGCATATGGAGCTCCAATCCTGCCTCCATGTAACATCTTCACCTCTGAAGAGAACTCATCCCAAGACATCACACCTTCGTCTAAATGATCTATCAGTCTAACAAAATTTAACCTGCCATATTCACAAGACAAAAAAAAATGATCATCTCATCTCAGCAAGAAAGCAAAACCAATCCTTTATATAGCCAAATGAAACATCGGTCTTCCGTTACTAGATCTTCAAGAAAATATATATAAATATTATCGTTCTAAATTATAAAACAGTTTTATTTTTATTAAATTTCTTACTAAATTATCTAGAGCCCCTAAAATTTCGTAGTAGTTAAAGAAAGAGAAGAAAGTAATTTGTTATTTTAATGATTCAAACCTGTCTGGATTGATAGTCTTCTTAAACCCTTCAAACCTCCTATGCCCTTGTACAGCCTTAGCCATATTCCCATCATAAGTATACACAAAAACATCGCTTTCTAAGGCCACAATGTAATCCAAAGCAGCCAAGCGGTTTTGGTATGGTTTAAAGGGTTCTAACTCTTCTTCAGTTGCTAAACTTGAATGAGAGAAGACGTTAGGGTACTCTTCTCTGAAAGCATCCATACTATTACCTCCATAGATCTCACCAGCAACTATATATACAGTAGTGGAAGATGGATACCCCATCGCCTTTAAAAATATCGCTGCTTCTCTAGGAGACATAGGGCAGCCTCCTTGGATCCGTCTCTCTCTGCTGTCAATCTCTTTCTCTTTCCAGTGTTTCACATTGTATCTCATGATTCTCAGCTCTTCAGCTTCTCCAGCTGTGAGGTTGTGGCTGCAGCCTGTGAAGGCAAGCATGTCTTTCTCGTAACGTAAGTGGAGAGCAATGAAGGGTTCACTGTTGTTTCTTAACCGGTTAACCAAAACTTCACCGAACTCTTGAATCTCCTTGGAGTAACTTAAGGCTTGGTAGTTAGCGCGGCATCTCAGCCGTTGGATTGATGGTGGTAAGCCGTTGTTGGCTAGGCGTGAATCGGTGTGTGTGAACTTTACCACCTTGTGTTTTTTCAACAAAGGTAGCATCTCGTTTCTGTAGTAGCTAGCCTTGGACCAAGAGACAGGAGCCTTGAGGAGAGGCTTCATGGCTGCATAGCGAGGAGGCAAGTACTCTATAATGTCAACGTCATCTTTCAATACGTTCATGAAGTGTCTCCAGTCAAAAATGTCTTTGAATGTGCTGCAAAGTCAATAAAGAACATTTGTTCAAAACCATTATCTTGAGAAAATTTTCTTGTTGTGTAAAACAAAATAAAACCTGGGGTCAGTCCAGAAAGATTCATGGTCGAGGAGAGGAAGAACAAGAGTCGCATTCATAATCTTTGCTGCAGCAACCATGTCACATATCTACATTTGTTTTTTCATTTTGAAAATCAATAAGAAAACAAGAGATCAATGAATGTGAAAAGGTATTTGGGACACTGAAGCATACCCCAGTTCTCATCTGATTTAACCCGCCATTCGCGTGTACTAGAAGATAACCGTTGGTTTTCCTATGGAGCCCTGAACCAGCCACAAGTTTCAGACAACCATAAACTGAAGCTATTGTTGAAAGAATCTTAAAGTGCAAAGATAAAACAAGAGCTTTACTTGAACGGCTCTTGGGACGTGACGCACACTGGCGATAGTTGCTGGATTCAGGTTTCTGCCATATCTCCGGAACCTGTAACAGAATAACCACATTAGCTTCATACGTTACAGAATAACGACATTAGTTTCATACGTTACAGAAACAGATTTTAGTTCACTCTGAGTACTTTAGTGTAACTCAATGTTAAACCTAGTCAAAATTCATCATAAATGCATTGCTTTGGAAATTAAAAAGATTTAAAAAAAAAAAACTGAAAAACCGTAAAAATAGTAAAGACAGTCTTCTCAACCAATCAAAGCTTCACCATTAAACCGGTTTTGACACAAAGAGACAAAAGCTGAGGTCTGTCCGAATAAATATTCAATGATAATAGCATCGGTTTCAACAATAATTGGAAGCAAGGTCAACGGAAACTATGTAGAAAACGTGGTGATCCATAACAAAAACAAAGGTTGCCTAAATTCTATTTGACTATTTCTTCGTCAAGTTCATTCTTATAACGAATCTCAGAAGAATATGCAAAAACGGATTATGAATTTGTTAATTATAATTCTATCATTGACGCAATCAAATGAGACCATTCCGAGAAAGCGAAAGGAAAAAAAGAACAGAGAACGCGAGTTTCTGTTAAAAATACGATCTTCCACCAACAAAAAACAGAGGAAACAGAGGAAATTTTGAAATTTCTGAGTTTTTTTTATCGGAAAACTCAAATTTTTTATCATTATTATTTTATCCGGAAAATAACAGAGTAAAATCAATTTAATGTTTCTGGGTAAAAACTCATAATTTTGTTCTATTTCAATTTTCTCGAGCAGAAAAACAGAGAAAGATTCGATTCATTCACTTTTCTCGGGGTAAAAACTCAAAACTTTGTTTCATTCAAAACTGATCACAAAGCATTGATTGGTCAAAAAGATTTGGAGGGTGTTCATCGATTGGTTATCGATCAGAAAAAAAAATCATTGTTTTATTTTCTCGGGAAAGTAAAATTTTCAATGCACAGAAAGAAAAAAAAACTCACGGGGAGCTTCTCGACAGAAACATTCTCCGACATTGCGCGTTGAGCCATGGACCAATCTTCATGTAACGCCCTAACAACAACAAGCTCATTCAAATCTCTCCTGTGCGCGTGATCAGCAACGCGCCCACTCATAACAGAAACTCTAACAAAGAGAGAAACAACGACGAGAACCATGAGAAGACCCAAGATCTTACGGCCCACGTTTCTCCCCAATCCTTGACCAATCACAGCCGTCCATCCACCCTCGCAAAGAAACGGCCACTTCAATTTACGTGGGAGAAGAAGGTACCGGATCTTCGGGTGGTAGTGGTGATCGTGGTGGTAATGCGATCCGCTAGAGGTGGACCCCATCGAGGAGGGTGAGGAACACGCGCCGTTTGTTCCTCCCTCGCCGTCGACGTCTAAGTCCGGCGAGAGGGAGGAGATGTTGACTATGTTGCAATACTCTGAGGAAATGGAGGGTCGTTCGGAGGTGGTTTCGAGAGAGTCTCCGATACGACGTCGTGTTATTGGTGCAACGGCCAATGGGCTAGCGCCGGCCGCTGACATGTTTAAGAGAGGGAGGGAGGGAGAAAGAGTTGGTTTTTTTTTTTTTGGTTTTTTTTTTTTTGGTAAAATGTGTGTTTGAGGGGTTAGTGGTTGATCATGTTATGGTATTAGCTACCGTGATGTTCGGTGAAGCTGAGAGGCGTCCAAGCTTTCTCTAAATCTCTCTCTCTCTGTTGCCTATGTATGGTATTTATACAGACGCATGTTGTGTGTTTATTATGGTTTGTGTGTATTTATGTATGTGGGCCTTTCCCTAATCATTTATGGAAATAAGGACTTCTGATTTTGATATTTGTTTCTATAAAAAAACTTGGGCGGGTAAATCGGTTTTACAGCTTCGTCGGTTTATTTTTGTCAAAAAGTTTTAGTAATTTATATAAATAAATACTACTGTTAATTTATTTAGTTGTGTAGCTATGTAATATGTTTATATCGAATTTATACAATTTGGCTTGTCTTTTTTCCCTTGTAACTTATTTTTGGTTTGGTTTTACACAAACACTTTCAAATTTAGATTGGTTTGGTTACACAAATTTTGTTTTGTAACACTGTTACACAAACTTTTTTTCAAGTTTTCCTTTTAACACGGTAAATGTTTTCATTCTTTCTGTTTAATCTGAGTTCAAGTGGAGTTTAATACCATTTTATTTTATATTAAAAGTTTCATTTTTTTTAATTTTCATATATCTGTTCGGCTTTTGGTTTGGTTTCGATTCCAGTTTGGCTTTTCAGATATAAAAATATAGAAACCATTATGATATTTTACGATTTCTGTCTGATTTCGGTTTTAGGTATTTTAGTTTGGTTGCGGTTCGGTTTTTTGGTTCCGATTTTTTGCCCTCGTAAACCATCATGTTTATTAAAATTCTTCAGTGACATCAAAGTTCTTTCTATTACATTCTTTATATATGTCACATTATACAATAAATTATTCATTAATAGATCACTATCTACTATACGTCATGTTTATATCTATGGTATTTGCGTATTATACAGACACTGTTAGTATTCATATACACTATTTTATCCTATTTGCTCTAGAATTTTTTTAAAACACTTGATTTAAAATTATCTTTGTGCTTCAATATTAGTTTTTAAAGAAACAAGGATTCAAAATTACCATTTTCTGATTTTTTTAATGTCCAAATTATCCAAAAGACATAACTAAAACATTTAAAGATGATAAGTTTCATTTTTACATCATTTTGTGTTTAGGAGCTGCATTTGGATGTTATTAGGTATTGCATTTATATATTTTGTATACATAGGGATTGTAATGCTCAATCTAAAATTATGAAATAAAATGGAAAACAAAAGTGCATAAAATAAAAATTATGGGACCAAAGTTGAAGAAGAAGAAACACAGTTTTACCTACATTTTTAATGTATCCATTTCAGTAACTGATCTCCAATACTTTACTGTTGTAGAGAAATCTGCGAAGTTACCTAGAATCCTAAAGTGACCACTTCAGGAAAGTTGCATTTTACATCTTGATGCTCTAGGTAAACTGTTTTCTTAATGTTATCAATCATTAGTTGTATGTGGATTCGATCCTAAAGTGCTGTATCGATATATTATTTGATTGTGCTAGTGTACATTAGGTTAATTGGCATGTGATAAAACGCAGAACATCAAAAAACATAAAAGATAAATAAATAACAACTATAGATATTACTATCATTATATTTTTATAATTTTATAACCAATAGTAATTTTCTTAACCACATTAGTAATTTTATTTTTATGTGTTTCTATGTACTCCTTTCTATGGATATTAATATCATTATATTTTTATAATTTTATAACCAATAGTAATTTTCTTAACCACATTAGTAATTTTATTTTTATGTGTTTCTATGTACTCCTTTCTATGTACTCAATATTATAAACAGAGTGGTTTTGTATGTGATTTGTAGTGATAATTATGGTATTTTCTATACAATACAAGTATATATACACAACATTGTAAGCATATTAATTCGGTTTAAACATTTTTTTCGTACCAAAATGCAGGGATACGTTTGTCATATAACAAGTCAAAATAGTTAGTTAATTTATTAGAAACATATATAGATATAATACTGATTTATTATTCTAAAATAATTATTAGATAGATGATCCGTTTAACATTATCAAATTGCTCCACGTGAAACAACAAAATATTTTTATGGTTTGAAAAACAATTCAATACATTTGTTGATGTATATATACATGAAGTGACATTAACTGTGTCTTAGTATCTCCATGTATTTTTAATAAAAAATGGTGTATTCCAATCACTTTTTTTTTTTGAACAACTAAGAAGGGTATATTCAATCTAAAATTTGAGGTGATTTGTTTTTATATAAAGTTTTAGATAATTTCAATAAGTTGTAGATATTTATGTGATAGTTGTTAAACAACTTTAGAATATCACCTAAAACTATATGATTTGAGTTTTAATTTTTTTTAACTAAGAAATTCCACCCAAATACTTTAAAATTACTTAAAAACTTTAAAATTTCATAACTTAAAATAATTTTAATAATAGTGGATTTCAGAATACTTAATAAAATGTCAAATTCAATAACACTGAATTTAAATGAATTTGCTCCACCCCCTAAAACTTTACCGTGAGTATGGAAATGATTTGATTTCGAAAAAGCTGGTAACATCACCATAAGATTTTTTGTCTTAACTTGCATAACATTAGAAACAAATTCTCAATGATCTCTGGAAAATGTCGCCAAATACATTTGGCTCTTTTGAAAAGGGGTTTCAGTACAACCAAATACATTTGATATTTTACACATCATATTCAAATCAATTCTTTTGAACAACTTTACGTAAATTCACCATCTAAATACAGAAATAGAGTAATGTCAATGTGTCATTCATAAAATGTATGACATTTTCATGGCAAACTAAGTATATTTATTACTAGTTACATGTTTGTACATTCAATTGTTCGACTAAGATAAAACAATGTATTAACCTTTTTAATATAGAAAACACCTTAGTTTAGTAGTGTTAATAAAAGAAATATACATCGTATCGTATCATCTAAAAACAAACAAAAAAATTAAAGAGGACTTTACCAACTAAATGTCATTGTTTATTATTATTACATTATCTTCGACATTACTATTTGAATTACCTCACATAACACGACACATGTGCCGCGCCACACATGCCGCTCGTTTCCCCTTATTTTGTTTCTTAGAAATAATTCCGAAAAACAAATTCCAACTTAGTTGTTATCATTACCTATTTTAAAAACTATTTTCTTTTTCTTTTGGTCTTTAAATTTCAGCTAATCGATTTTGATTAGGGTTAGCAAAAGCTAAACACATAATTAACCTGCATCATGTGGGCCAAACCTTAGATTTGCCGCCAACATAATAGGACACGTAACCCTCAACCACATTCATCACCCTCGTCTCTGATGCTACCACGTGGATACATTCCAAACACTTTCCGTATCTCAAGCCGGTCGGCAAAAAATTTCAGCATCTGTCTGATGCATTTAAGGCCGTTGGATCCGAATCAGACGGCCGATACACGATCTCTCTCGTTCCGACATGTGAACTTGTCATTTGCGTAAGTAAAGTACCATATCGTTTGTACATTTTTTCAGATCCTGTATTAAAAACGATGAAGACGGCAGAATTACATTTGCAAATTGATTCAGCAGTTTTAATGTTTAAAGATGTTTTGGACTTTACGAATAGTATCATAGTATCTGTATTGTCTTCGGTTTGAGACATTAAGGATGTGAACATATGTGATGAATGATAGACTATCAGTTTTGTAAAGTTTATAATCAACGTTACAATAAATGACTAAAAGTTTGACGTTCTACGCAAAGATATACTTGCTTTCAATAACGATTAACAAGACGTTGGAGGATTAATTAAAACCGATCATAGAAACGGTAGACTTGCATGTATTTCTTAACGCAAAATGCAATTACAAGAAGAAAACGAAGAAGTAATTTAGTCAAAGTTAAAAAGCTTTATTTAGTTACAAATGAAAACTCTTGTTTGTGGAAACATTAATGCGATTTTACTTTATGCTAACTATCTAACGTTGAAAATCTGGTTCAAAGTGATTTATCTAGGTATATCATGAAGAGTTATTGTAGCTGTTGGAGTCTATAATGATTGAAAGGAAGCATTAAAAACGTAGAGATTCAATGTTATAAACAAAAAAACATAGAGGTTTATAAAATGTGTATAGCTGCTGCATTGAAAATGAGTCAATTGGAAAGAGATCAATGCTCGGTGTAGACGGCATGGCACAGTCGGCATGACTAAAGATATACATAAGAGATCTTTGGTATAATTCCTAGTCCCTTTGTTATCATATGGTATAATGAAGATATGTGTATAACCTCCATTTTCCCCTATTTATTTCTTGTTTCTATGAAAATTATAATCTTATTCTGCTTATGATTAATTAATAATTTTCTATGTACGAATTTGTTATTGTATAGTATTGTTTAACGTTTGATCATATCTAATAAACAGGAACCCAATGAAGTTTTAAACCTTTCACGGTGATTTGATCTGGTACATTTGAGAAATATATAAACACTAAGAGAATGAAATTCAGTCACACCTCCGTTCCTAGATGAAAACAAGTATACTTGCTAGTAATGATTCTTAGTTAAATTCTCTTAGATAATGACTTTGTACTATTAATTTTCAACAAAGAGATCAATGCATGTGAGACTCGGTTCATTCGTTATTTAACTTCTTAGATCCCTTAAACTCGTGATTAAGAGATTCTCTGCTCACTTGGATAAAGAATATTTTCAAGTGTTTCACCTTTCTGACATGTGGATTCATCCTCTATATCTAGCGTAGCCATAATTAAATAACCAAAAACCTCAAGTTAAGCTAGTATACCTTTATAGTCCAGAGATTCAAGTCCCATTCTGCATTTAATGTTTTGATTTCAAACATATTAATTATTATGCATGTTGGTTCATGTTCAAACACCTTCACATTCTTTTTAAGGTTAAGGTGTTTTTGTCGATCTTTGTCTCTCCTTGTTTCAACCGATCCAAGA